TTTTACGTATTGATTTATGGTGACTTTCTAAGACGTAGCAAAAGGCCAAACGTATGGGTCACGGAGTGATGATCGAACTCAACATTCACTTGGAATTGATATAGAGAGACAAGCTTCCTAACCAATACATCACCTGGAGGGTGCTCCGTGATTTTTTAAGCGTAGCTTACATGTGGCAAAAGGCCGAAAATATGGAGCATCCTGTGAGGATCGCACTCACTAATCAGTCATAATTGTTTTAGCGAGAAAAGTTTGCTAAGCGTTACATCACGTTGAGGTGCCTAAATGATTTGCTAGATGTAATATAAGGCTGAAAGTGTGAAGCACCAAATGAGGATCGATCACACTGCTCACTCGTAACTGATCTAGCGCGAGAGGCTTTCTAACTCTTACACCATGTCGACGTGCTCAAGGTATTGGTTTATTCAAGTACAAGTTAGTTTACTTCGTGTTTCGGGACATTATTACCTTTTTTATGTAATTAAATTTTATTTCACCTCAAAGATTAAAATGTCGTCCATATTGTTGTTTCCGGAAGAAATCCTAGATATATTTTCATTTCTATATTTAATTATTTAAAAAAAAATACCACGAGGCGTTTTGAAAGGTATGGTATAGGGGATTACTACACAAACTGGACTGCTGTGGAATCTCTGAGATAGTCCATTCTGTTATCAAGTTTCTTTCCTCTCAGTTAGGTCTATGATGGTCTTCATTAATGCCCATTTCTCTGAGAAACACGAGATCAATTTTCGTACCCTCCCCAAAAGAGTAGTTTCCTCGCCCCTATCCACTTTCTGCGTTATATTAACTATCTACACCCAAAACACTTTCAAATCCTTACTATATATATATATATATATATATATATATATATATAGTTTTAAAGTGTGCTATATTTATGGGATGGAGTGCTCAATAAATATTAAGTGATGAATAATGAAATCAAAACTCAGACTCGACAAGCTGTTTCATACCAGGCACAATCGTCAGGACGATATATATATATATATATATATATATATATATATATATATATATATATATATATATATATATATAAATATCATGAGGTATGTGTTCTCCTCCAAATATCTTGATGACCAATGACTGGTAGCTGATCTCTCCTCTGAACAAATTCTAATAGTTCAATGGGGGAATAGACTGGCTGGTAAGAGTCAATAACTACAATGCTATAATAGTAATATTTAACAACCAGTGAGAAGACCTTAAAATGGCACTAATCCTGATAAGTGGGCATACTCTGAATGAGATTCATTGCCCGAGATGCCTACTGGGTCTAAACTCGAACCCGACGTTAAATGGAACATGTATATTTATGTCATTGCAGAAGGGACAGTAAGAATGATCGGTACTGTTTACAGCTCGAGAAAATTGCTAGTTCTTGCTGCTGTGAGTTAATTTTACAATAGTCAAATCCAACCAAGCGTGGAGTATAGATGCCATATTTGGGCTGGTTCTAGCCTATCTTCATTATCAAACCTCGAAAATGTTCAAAAGGGATTACACGGCCTTCAGGAAAAAATATTGATTATCTATACAGCAACCTTTATTCCGCAGACAAAACCTTGCTAACCTTTCAATAGTTTATCGTTATTAATATGACATGTGTACTGATCAGATATATTATTGCGTTCCACCAGCTCAGACCTACATATATAGGATCCGCTATGCAATATTCACGGTGATAAACAATCGCCATTCGTTTCATGTTCAGATAATACAGCTTCTGCCCCAGAAATATTACTCCTGAGTGCATGCTTCCATAACAATTTCAATCGGGGTTTCTTCACCTTCAGGATCAACCGATATTTGCCTCCATACCATTGTAATACACACTTTTTAATCCTTTTTTTACCCTCCTTTTGAATAACGCAATCATTTAACCCGCTTCCTTGATTGGCATTGATTATTTACCTCATTTATATTGGGGCTAATATCCTCTCATTTGATGATTTTTCCATAACATTTCAGCTGCTGAAACACCTTGTGTACTTTAAGGTGTCCATCTATCCATAGAGTAATAAAAGAATAATTAGAAATACCTAATATCCTACACGAATCACTAATCACCGAAAGACGACAGCCGGTCACTATATGTGAAATAATGCAATAATAACACCACTTGCGAGAATTTGAATGTTAATAAAGTTAATAATAATAAATTAAAATATTCCTTTAACACACTTGGAGGTGAGCTTACTTTGTTTAATATCAAGACATTCTGTAAAGCTCATGGTTTTCTAGATTTCAGTGCTGCTAAAGTTGATTTTCTTAACTGAAAAAATGAAAGAAATGCCAGAAATACTCTTATCTCTATTACTTTATCGTTCACAATAGATTTAGTTAACGTCAAGTCTGATAATCTTAGACGTTTGCCTCAAAATGGCGTGACATTTCCTTAATCAACTGATAATGGGTGAAGTATAATGTAAACATTTCATTTACTATAGAAAAAGTGACACATAGTCATTGAATTGTATTGTCGTCAACACATGACAGAAAACTAGAGTAGGATTTTCCCCAGTATTCCTCCTGATTTCAATAACCCTGTTGTTTGCATGACTTCGAGTCTTATGCAGATATCGAATTCTTTCAAACTTTGAAAATGTTTTCAGAACATTTCGATTTCTCGAAGAATAATGGGCTTAACAGCATTATTCATGTTTCACTCTTTTTTTTTTTTTTTTTTTTTGCTTTGTTCTCGAAGGTTCGGAATATGGTTTCTATTTATTAATTTTTAATTTTGCTCATTAATCTATTGTGATAGCGACAAGCCCTATATGGTGATTATCTAGGCGTGGCATAGATGTGGCACAAAACCGAGAGTATATGTCACCCATTAAGGATCGAAATCAGTATTCATTCTTAAGTCATCGAGCAAGACAAGCCTGCTAACCCTTACATCGCATCGAAATGCCCCAGGGACAAAACCCTACATGATTATATATCATCTACTTATTTACCGCTACTGACTCATTCGAGAGTTCTGGTTTAATAGATATCGACTCGGAATGAGAAATCGGACACATCCCGTCGAATCTCGATCGGGTTCGTTACATACACTTACGCACAGAATATATTATGATAAGGTACTGATCCATTTTTTTCTCCCTCAAGCTGTGGGTTGATTATTAATACAAACTGGATCCTATTGCCTGGCAACATACTGCAGGAAAATAGTCTACCTAATCAGTCATGAAAGAAAAGGGACATGATCACCTAAGGAAGTAGTACACATGGCGCTTAACTGACTATTTGAATTTTACATGTTTTTTTTTGTGTTAGTTGTGTGCGTGCGCATATATATATATATATATATATATATATATATATATATATATATATATATATATATATATATTTGGACAGCAATCCTTATTTTATACAAATTGCATTAAAGACGACTGAAAGGTACTGCAATTAAGCATTTTATTTTGTTTTTCTTGTGTTCGTATAAGTGTATTTCTTTTCTCGAAATAAATCATGTAAAGGTGTCCAAATATTCTGCATATCCGATTGCTTTCGCTTTTTCGCTTAGCCATTATCAAGGATCGTTTTATTTCCTTTATTTTCAACTGAACGCATTTTTTATGCATGTGCCTAGAGTTATAGGAATGCATTAATTTCCATTAAAAGTGTTCATAGTTGATGTTATTGAGTGTGGGCTTTTCCTTTTTTTTCAAATTAGTACATCCATTACTTTTAAAAGTCTTTTTTAATGTGGATGAGGCTATTATACTTGTATTTTCTACAAGTATGTTCCTGTTGAAGTTTGGTAGGTGTACGTGTGTGTTGGTTTAAATGAGTCCAACCGGAAATACTATCAGATAAATGTAGCATGAGTCTTCTAGATAGGCATGTAGTGGTGTGTCCAATATCTATCTAACTATCTATCTATCTATCTATATATATATATATATATATATATATATATATATATATATATATATTACTTAATTATTATTATCTCAAATCCTCTAATTTTTATCACTTGTATATCCTTGCTTGTAACCGATTCCTAATGCTCTGGACGAAGTGTCTTGAGGATAGTAGTCGTGGCTCGTGGGGGCAAAGTCCTGTGGGTAAAAGAGAAACTCGGATGAGTTCCACCACGGAATATGTGATCGAGCGGCGCTATATGATTTGCGACCAGGTCCTCACCGAGGCCCGTTGGAAAAGTTGGTTTGAGGTTTGCCTGATAACTTAACTGTCTTGGTTTCAATTCTCAGTAGTGGATGCGCACTGCTGATGAGTCCCGTCCTCTGCATTCTGTTAAAGATTTTTCTTGTCTTGATGAATTACTTAATTATAATTATCTCAAATCCTTCTAAATTCTATTATATATATATATATATATATATATATATATATATATATATATATTAAAAAAAGAGGGGTGCCGCAAACGTTTTTTGGTTGTAATGTGGATTTATTGAGAAAAAAATATTATACTTTGTTTTACATAATTTCACGACACAAACAGAATGTCTCATATCGAGAATATTCCACATTGAACATGAAGAAAAATTAATTATTTTTAATAATATGTAAAAATCTCCACTTTCACCTGAAGACGGTTGCGAGACCAGACCAGAAACACGTGTCGTGAAATTATGTAAAACAAAGTATAATATTTTTTCTCAATAAATCCACATTACAACCAAAAACGTTTGCGGCACCCCTCTTCTTTTTAATATACATACTTTTCTCTCGTTGGAACCAGTACAACATATTTCCTTTATATATATATATATATATATATATATATATATATATAATTTCTTAGTATGTTCAATCTTCAGGTTTTGCAGCATTACTAGTAAATGCCCTTCCTCATCCTGCCCTATCTTTTTAACTTTTAGGTCTGTGCCAAGATCCCCTATATTGACTATATTGACGGTTATCAGGTTTTTGTAATTACTTTCCTTCGTCAATAGAACAGTCTAAAATACTTTGTATTCATATCTGGCGGTGTCATGCAGTTTCCTCTTCTGAAATATATTCTTTCGTTAATATTACTGTATCGTTGGCCATTATCAATGTTTCTTTAACATGTTCAATCCTCTCATTCCTTGATAGCTGAGATTACACCATAGAAGATTCACTTGCTAAATTTTTCAGTGTAACAATTCTGGTCATAATGAGCAAGATTGTGTCTACTGTCATGATTTTCCTTTGTTTATTTTTATTACTTTTATTATAATAGTCCTTGTTTATTCATAATTTATTTACAAAGATAATAACGCGTAGTTTAGCTTGAAGTTTAATTAGTAGCCTCTTCAATATTCAAGCAGTACTCCCAATATTCATGGTGTTTTCAGTAATAGCGTTTTCTCATTTATTTGTATATTACGCTTCCTCAACCTTTTGTGGGTTATTTAAGGCCAAAACATAGTTTGGATTGTGAGAATATCAATGACATTTAAGTTGCAAGTCTTATTACGGAAATTATATCCATAGGGAAGAAATCGAACATCTCTACGTTTATAAAGGTATTTGCGCGTAAGTGAATGTGACGAAATTGACTGGGATTTGAACTGGCTCTCCGATTTATCGTTTCTAACCGCCATTCATTACACCACCGCTACCATTTTCTCTACGGTTTCTTTTTATTCTTCAAATTTAGATTTCATCCTTTTTTTTTTTTTTGTAGGCTCTTCTATCCCGCCAGTCATTTTCACGGGCTTATCAACTGCAACGATTTCTTTCCAGGCTCTTCAGCTCTTTCAGTCTCCTTCCCAAGTCCTTCTGTTTGGTATGTCTTTTTCCTAGGCCATTCAGATCCTCCAATATTCATTCCAAATTCTCTTTTGTTCCTTCATTTTCTCCCAGATTCTTCCGTTCCTCCAGTCATATTTCCCAAATGTCTTCATTTCCCCCACTCTTTTACACAGGCTCTTTATTTCTTCCAGTTTCATTAATATACCCGTTAGTTCCTCCAAAACTCTCCGTTCCTCCAATACCATTTTCAGACTCCTCAGTTCCTCCACTCATTTCTAGGACCATTCAATTTCTCTAGTCTTTTCCAAGGCGTTTCATTTCCTCCAGTTTTTCCCCCGAGGCAGTTTAGTTTCTCCAGTCCCATTTCCAGGACTTTCAATTCATCCAGTCTTTTCTTCTGACCCTTCATTAATTCTGGTATTTTTACTGGCTGTTCACTTCCTCTACACTTTTCTCTAGACCCTTCAGTTGCTCCAATCATTCCTCCATATGCGAGGTCTCCATCAAACCAATAAATCTAACGCAACTTTCATGTTCCACGACGTCCTCATCTTTCCCCGAAGGTAAGTATCTATCTCACGTTCAGAGTCACTCAATGTTTCCACTAGAAACGAAAAACATTTCCTTGTTTACCAAATCCATTCCTCCGAGCTAGATTGAATATGTAATACTGCGTGTGTAAAACACATGGTATTAATTTAGGGCTCAGAATAAAGAACTGCAGAAAAAAGATCTATCTAAAAACCGTCACATATAGTTTCAATGTATTACTTCCGGAAAACAATATTTTTTACATGGTTACTTGACGTTTAAAAGTCTCTCTCAAAACAAAACAAAAAAAGAAAAATAAAGGAAAAAATACAATGGGGACGTTTTCACTTGGTAATGAAAACAGATGTGTAAAAGGATAAAACTGACAGGTTTTCACACCATTAGTATACGAAATAGGAATACTGAGTAAACATTATAAACCATATATGATTGTGAAAGTTTTACTGTAAGGAATTCTTTCTCTAGTGAGAAGTTTTTTATTTGACATTTCAGGAAGAAAGAAAGGCCATGCCGTTTGGGATTAAGTTAACGGCACGCTGCAGAAGAAAGACCGTAGTCATTATACACCAGTTTAAGTAACATATGATGTCGTGAAGATGTAACAAGTGATCATTTTGCATCTTGTAAATGTCTCAGAATCAGTTACGTGTTCCTATCCTCATGACAGATTCTGAAGCTGACTGAAAAGTAACTCCCTGTTTTATGCATGATGGCCTCTCCCGTCTTGTAAAATTATAGTTAAAATGGAGAGTAACTTTTCCATCACCATATACTATTAGTCTGAGTCTTTTTCTTTACATATTAATCACTTACTCGGTCCTCTAGATCTCATCCACTGCGAAATCGTGTTTTTTTTTTAATTCCTTTCGGACAAGGATGATTCTCTGATGCTTGCACTGTCATTATTATGTTCATCATACTGTCTTTTCCTCATGTTTACACTCAATAATTTTTCTTTTACTGGAATTGTCTGACTTTCTCTCATACGGACTTTCGTCTGCGTAGCCATGTTCTTGTGGAATTAAACTGTCAACCATTAGATTTTCCTTCTGAATTACAGCTATAATTTTTTTTTCAGTTCTGTTTTTTTTTGTTAGAATGGATGGTAAGAATTTAATTTTTTATTCCAATTCCCTTAGATAACTGACGCGTGTTTTTATATCCTACTGTTTATTTATTTTATTTGATCGTGCTTGAAATTGCAACTAATAAAACTACTTTCAGACGTGCTATTGGCTGGATATAAAGTCACTGGCAAATGTCACTGACTTTATATCCCGAAAATGGCACGCTGAAGAGTAATTCCATGCGCTGATTGTAACCAAGTGATTAAGATGAAAGACAGACGGAAGATTAACAGCGGGATTTAAACACAAAGATGAAATATAGTGTACGATGGATAAATTGTAGCCATTATATATATATATATATATTTATTAAAGACATATTTTTATGTTTAACGTTGTTATTTTATAGATACAAGTATTTAAGCAAATGCTCTGTTTATGATAAACAGTATTAAATAACATTTCCGGCCTGAATGTCCGAGGCACGTTTCATAGTAAATTTTCGTTCTTTGACAGGATTCAACCTGAATCCTATAAAGAACCGTCATATTTTCATGAAAATGCCTTTACCGGCCGGTAAATGCTATTTAATCGGCTGTTTAATCATAAACAGAGCATTTGCTTAAATACTTGTATCTATAAATAACAACGTTAAACATAAAATATGTCTTTAATAAATAAATTGTCGGACCTTGTCCATTTCTTAATATATATATATATATATAATATATATATATATATATATATGTATGTATATATATTTAATTTGTTGCATGCGCGTTGTTTGTTTTTGATTTTATCGAATGCACAGTATAGTAGGGTCAGTTGCGCAACGTCTGTGAGAAAAAGAGCACCATAACGCAATTTACTTCGCCAGACATTTTGGAAACGTCATGCTCTACTTCTTGGCATTCGCACCGGAATAACCAATATGACCATTTCAAAGGGATTAAGTATCAATCTGAGGAGACAGCAAAAGAGTCGGAAAGAGCTGGATGAGAGTTTTCTATCACTTTCACTCTCTGTAACCCACTGCGTGATATTGGCACTCCTGCCTTGATTGGGGTGAAATGCTAAAAAAAAACATTTAATTCTCATACAGTCATTGAAAATAAAAACAGAAATAAATTTAAATGTAAGCTACATGATCGAAACTTTTTTCTATTTGTTGACAAATTCCTGGTAGATATATTTATACTGCAAGGAAGACTGTATAAATTTGGAAAAAAATTACAATAATCTGTGATATATTTTCGAAAAAACAAAATCCTTTAGAAAGATAGAAAATGAATTTTGAAAATACGCAAGATAGAAAGTGTGGGTGAGATAAGAATGCATTTAACGGATTCAATCATCGAGTTTGATGTGAAGAGAAGTAGAATTTATATCTAATCTAGACAATTTCAACAAAAGAGGAAACATAGATAACACCCTCCGCTTTGTAGACACAGAAGAAATTGCAAGAACTTACAGAAGGTGTAGAAAGTGAAAGTTAAAAGATGAAGGAACCGTCAATAGTAAGAAAGTTGAATGTATGGACATTAGAAAGACGGAACATCCTAAGATGTGAGCTACGAATTTGTGTCACCATTCTTATGCAAGTATAGAGATGTAAGAGTCTGGGAAGTGTTAGACGAGATTACGAGAATATGGATTAGAATTAGGAAGCATATTGGAGTTGTAAAAGATGACAAAAAAAATTTGAACTATATATTAAGAATCAGCAAATTTTGTTTCAAATAAAGTAAAAAAAAAAAGCTGCAATGTTGTATAATGCAACATTCTCTTTACATATATATATATATATATATATATATATATATATATACATATATTATGAAATGGACAAAGTCCGACAACTATTTGAAGACATTTTATGTTTATACATTCTTTTTATAGATACAAAAATTTAAGCAAATTCTCTGTTTATAATAAACAGTATTAAACAACATTTACCGGCCTGAATTTAATCGGAGGACGAATATTTTCTATGAAAATTTCTCGGACATTTAATCGGAGGACGAATATTTTCTATGAAAATTTCTCGGACATTCAGGCCGGTAAATGTTGTTTAATACTGTTTATTATAAACAGAGCATTTACTTAAATATTTGTATCCATAAAAAGAATGTATAAACATAAAATATCTTAATATATATATATATATATATATATACATGTTTCACTTTTTCTTCAACCTTCACCAGGTACGTAGGAAAAAAGAGGAGAAATTTGTGTTTTAACTTTTGGTTTGTTTTCTTTTCATTGGTTAAGCAAACTATGTGTTTTAATATATATATATATATATATATATATATATATATATATATATATATATATATATATATATAGATACTAATTTTCACTTCTTTTATTTACTGATTTTTACAAACTTTAGCCAAAGTCAAAATGGCAAGTCTGGAGAAGTTATAGCTATCTGGAAAAAACGCCTTGCATTGGAAATCGATAGAACCTCAACCAGGATGCCAATAACCATTACATTTTTCTTTATGTATTTGTATTTACTACGTTCAACTTAGTTTGGGACAAGGCCAACTGATATAGAGGGATGTAAGGCCAATTTTGGTATTCTAATCTTGCCAGTGATCTTACCGTTCGATATCATAACATTTTTGTTTTGTTTTTGAATCATTTCACCCCAAACAAGACAATAATGCGACTAGAACACAGGAGGGGGTTACAGTGAATGACAACGAATGAAAATGAGAAGGTGGAGTTTGAAGAATATGCAAAAAGGAACAGGGTTCAAGGGGACAGAATTTGGTGATTGATGTTGCTTTTAAGTTTTTGAACATTAGAGTTATCATGGAAGAAAAAATAATCTGAATTGAGTTGCACAGGTGGGATGTGCAAGAATAGAAAATAGTAGAGTAAATTTGGCGGTTACATTTAGCTAGTATCCATAGTAACACGTTTAGACCTAACTACGAGTCTAGTAACTCAGATAAAATTCATGTAGTGCGGTTCACAGGGAAAAAAAGAGCAGCATAACATTTGCCGTTAAAATATTTATAGAAGGCTACGTCATTTTGCAATGATGATAATGACATTTCTTCGCTGAATATAAGGAATGTTGATGCATAATGCTCTGCTTATAAAGGATGTCGAGAAAATTATAAACAGATCAGGAAAACATCTCAGAATTCTGGGTAAAATAAGAAAAAAGAAAAGTCTAATTAGAACCAGAAAGAGGCAGTTAAAATTTCTTGTATACGTAAGGCGGAAAAAGGTCCTGAAGTATTTGACACTCATAGAATATAGTAAAGTTAAGAGATGAAGAAGGAAACATTGAATAACACATCTAATTTCTAGAACGTTGTGGCCCACGTCGTCCCCACCGTGGCGAGATAGGGTATATAAAAGAAGAAAATACATGTGATACTATTGATTAAAAATAAACAAACCTGAAATATGAATAAAAAACCTTTTTTTTTCTTTTTTTTTTACTACTGTTCAACAAATACTAGGCCCAATAGCCAAACGAGGTAGAGTGTTAACGTGTAGTATTGTCCTAGCGTCCTAAAGGACAATAAATGAAGTTCTTGGTGGCTATACAGGATATATAACAGCTAACTCTAGACTTGAATATGTGAAAATTTAATTAGTAACATTTCAGAGTTCAGTCGGAGACGTTAGAAATATACTGTGGAGGTAGAGTTTCGAAGAAACCGGAAACCAAATCCTAAACAGTAAACAAGGGATAAACCTCTACTCCTGTTCAAAAGACCGTGGAAGAGCATGAACCGGACGATGGGCGACGCTTTCTACTCCTATTAGGAGAGAAGAAATATTTAAAGATAAATAAATAGTAAATCAAATTTCAGCGGTGAGTAGGAGAATATAGATTTGAAGAAGACGTTAGAAAGAATCTAATTCTAAACATGAAACAAGGAATAAACCTCTATTGCTGCTAAAAGCAAAAACTGGATATGAGTGTGAAACGAACTTACATTAATTTATGTGTGAATAAATAAGATATGGAATCCATACAAATTTTGACAAATGGAAAACGTTTCTACCGACTTGATTAAATGTTACGTCATCGTTAGATAAGCTTCCTCAGATTAGAAAGAGAGAAATGTGTGTGTGTGTGTGTGTGTGCGCGCGCGCGCGCGCTTCAATGTTAAATCTTTAATCCTTTCTTTTTTCCAGCTAAGCTGGTGCTCCTCTTTCGGGATGAAAAAACTCAAATGTGTGACTTTTGTAGAAAAGGCGTCTTTTTTTTTTTGTTTTTTTTTTTTTATTTATTTGTGCTGTTTTCTTTGCTATTCGATTTTCTTATTTTGTCGAAATTTGTTTATAATATTCTCCCTCTCTTTTCTGTATTGACATTACCTTATATACCCGTGTCACATTTGGTCAAAGTAATCAAAATCAGTGTGATAATAGAATAAGCACACCCCATTCCCACTCACGCTTCTAACCATCCATCACAACAAAATATTTTCTCAGCACTAAATCTGAATTAGTAAAATAAAGTTATACGTAGTGTTGTTGCTATATTACAGTCGGTTTAATAATTCGGCATGCGAATTACAGATCTTGTTCTTTGATAAGATTTTATGCCAAATCAGAAAAACTAGTAAAGAGAAAAAAAACAGCGTACATTTGTAAGAACTGATTAAGAAAATGCGCAAAAATACATTAGCCATTTATTATTTGTTGGTATGACGCTGAAATTCATAATGGTAGGTGGCTTGCAAAAATTAAGAAAATACAAAGATGTCCTTTATTTCCTCGGAGTTTGTTAGAAAGGGGCATAAAAACGAATGTAAATCGAGATCTTTAGGATTAAATAATGAATCTGAAATGGCAATATATAAAGTTAACATTTGTAGCAACACAGAAATGTCAATATAATTGAACCATAAAAGAATTTTGTTAAACTGCATAAATACATAGATTGTATCAAGGGAAGGCAATATTTGAGATGAAGATAAATATAATGTGTTTTTATTGCACATTGGAAAATGACACCTGTAAGAAGAAAAGGCCCAGCCGGAAAAAGCAAAGGGAAGTAAGAGTAAATCCTCAGTTCATCAAAGAAGGAAATAACAGATACAAATCGTATAAAGGACAACTGAAAATATCGTGTGAGGCATTCAAGGATGGTTCATAAAATAAAAATCTGACAAAGAAAACAATCAAGTGTTCAGGAACGTAATGTTTGGATAAAGAGGTGAATGTTAGATGATGTGTGAAAAATAAGCTAAAAAATATGAACATGAAGGCAGAAATTGGGAAAACAAGGACAAAAAACGGAAAGGAAAGGAGAATGATGAAAATAACGATAACGATCGAAAAACGTGAACAAACGAGAAGGCAGGTGAGAAAAAATGGCGATATGATGAGAAAGAAGGAAACAGTGAAAGAAGCAAAAAATAAAGACAATTAAAAAGCTAAAGAAATAGGATAGAAAGAAAATTATTGATATAATGAGAAAGAAAGAAAGAAAGAAGATTCGACAGGAAAAAAAGGAAAGGTTGAAGTAGAAAGTTAGAAACTTGAAAAAAAAGGTAAAGAAAACGATAAAACTGATGCAAAAGAAAAGAAATGAAGAGAAAGAAAATTAAAAAAATTATCAAAAAAGAACGAAATGAAGAATGAAAAAGTTAGAAAATTGTTAAAAAAGATCATCCTAATCTGAGAAGGAAAAAAAACAGTAAATACAAAAAAAAAAAGAAAGAATAAAAGTTGAAATCTTATCCAAAAGACATAAAAAAGATAATAGAAATCGGAAAAGAGAATAAAAAGAAAGAAAGAATTAAACGAAGGGAGAATGGAAGCATGAATTAAATAATGAAGGAAAGAAGGGGGAGAGGAAAGAAAGCTGAATTATGATAAGAAAGAGAGTAAACAATGAATACAGGAATAAAGAGAGAAAATCTGAAAGCTTGTCAAGTAGAAAAAAGAGGAAGAAGAAAGGAAAAAAGAGAAAGACAATTAGAAAGCAAAGAAAGTAGGATAGAAAGAAAATTATTGGTTTAATGAGAAAGAAAGAAAGAAAGAAAGAAAGAATGACAGAAAGAAAGAAAGAAAGAAAGAATGAAAGAAAGAATGACAGAAAGAAAGAAAGAAAGAAAGAATGAAAGAAAGAATGAATGAAAGAAAGAATGAAAGAAAGAATGACAGAAAGAAAGAAAGAAAGAAAGAAAAAAGAAGAATCAACATGAAAGAAGGAAACTTGAAACAAGTAAAGAAAATTAGAAATCTCATGCGAAAGAAAGAAATATAGAGAAAGTAAATTAAAAAGTTTAACAGAAAGAAGGAAAGGAAGAAAGAAAAATGAGAACGTTGATAAAAAAAGATAATTGGAATCTGAAAAGAAAGAAACTGTAAATAGAAAAAAATGAAAGAAAGAATAAAAGGCGAAATCTTATCAGAAAGACATAAAGACGTAATTGAAATCGAAAAAGAAAAATAGAAAAAAGAATTAAAGGAAGGGAGAATGAAATTATGAATTAAATAATGAATTAAAAAATGGCGAAATGAAGGAAAGTTGGCTTATGATAAGAAATAGAGCAACTAATAAATACGTAATTAAATATAGAAAATCTGAAAGCTTATCAAGATGAAAAAAGAGGAAGCAGAGAGAAGGGAATTAATAAATGTAACAAAAAAATCATAAGAAAAATACAAAAAGGAAAATAAGAAATGTGAGAACAAAACTTAAGAAAGGAACAAAAAAAAATACGAAGACAAGAGAGAGAAGGAAATGCAGAAAGCAAAACAATTATTTGAAAGCAAAATGAATTCAAAAGTTAGAAACTCTCTCGGATGTCAGACAACGGCTCCTGAACGAAAAAGAGCAGTAAATGAAATCTCGGAGACATGTTAATCAAATCTTTTCAGGGTCGCAAAATATTGTCATAATATTTGGGGATTGACATGAACACGAATTCAGGAAGTCGTGAAGAAACAAACGCACCTGTTTCCCCGTCGTATGACAAAAGAGGATGGATATGAAAAGAAAGATAAGACAATACGTGTATTTGGTGCAACGGAAGGTGTGTTGTGTTTCCAGGGTTAATGGCGGCAAACAAAAGAATGTTCCCGGCGTCACATAATGGCGCTGGCGTTGTTTCAGTTCCCATGACTAGAATTTGCGTTGACAGCAAGCGTCAGATAAGATAGTAAAGGCGACTGAACGTGAACATCTTAATGTAATCGTTGATTCAGACTGTAATATTCTTTCGTGTGTGTTTACTCGACTTTCAAAAATGCGAAATGAAGATCACTTTCACTGCAGATAAGCTACTTTCTACCGAATTGTGAATTTGTTAGTAGAATAATTAGATGTCGCTCTGCAGAAGTTGGTGGCGATTATCGCAACATGAGGAATAACCAAAATTGATAAAGCTTTCGTGAAGAGGCGGCGAAAAAAAACGTGAAATTTTCATGAGATATGATAGGAAACATGGGGAAAATTCCTTCGGCAAGTCAACATATCAGATAAGAATGTTAAACAAAAAGAGTAATGCATACATTATGGCAGATTTTATAGTGCAAGACAATGCTGGCACAAAAATTCATATTATTCAACTGATGTTCATAGAATTGCCAGGATATACGTTTATTTACCTGATAAATATACCGTGTTCGTTTCAGAGCATGTTATCTATTTTTTTCCGAAAAAAATATTTATTGTTTATATGTTAGTGTTGATTTCACAACACGGCTGTGAGCTGTTCAACATATTATATACATATATTTAATAGAATATTAAAATTTATTTTAATTTTAGATATAGTAAGATTACCACGGATTGGCTTAAGGATATGAACACAAAAGAAAGAAAGAGCTATTGTAAAGTTAATGAAAGGCAGGTACAAATTTGGAATTTGAAAAATCAGTTGAAGTGATCACAGATTAAACGAGAAAGAAATTAAAAACAATGGCTAAAAATGGAAATCTGACTTTAAAGTATGCAAAAATAAATCCGATCCAATTGAAAAGGGCATTTTGGTAGAAAGTTGCAAAAAAACACATACTGATAATATTTGAAGAATCGAGTCATTTGAATACAAGAAAACAGATTATTACAATACTAACTGATGAAAGAAAAGGACCAGTGTTTCTCTGCGCTTTTAAGCAAGAGCACACCTAGAAGAAAATGAAAATATCATGGAACACTTAGTAAACTTTATGAAGGGTTTACATTAACATGTTATGAAATAAAGCAATGGATATGAACTTAATTTATTTCAATATTTCTATTCAACTATTTGTGCAGCTTATTTAGTGTGAATCAGGTGCCTGTTTTGGGGATTTTTTTCGCGATTTCTTCAATGTTTGGTCGAATGTGCGATAAGCAGACCCTCATTTCTTCTTCAGTTTAGTGTAGTCTTTCCCCTTATTTTTGATGTTATTTAGGATTGAGAAGTTTAATTAACATCACTAAGAAGTAGTAACTTGTAATAAAACTGATAATCCTTTTTTAGCTCAAGTGGGTCAAAACATTTTAATACTTATTCATTTATTCAATACTAACGCTGTACCATTACTTTCCCACACACATATAGATATATATGCCGAAATTACTTAGCTGCTTCAGGTCTCCGTCCTTGCACTGGTGGCTACGACTAGCGTGGACCGGCTCTGACCAGCTTGGGCCAGCTATGACAAGCTAAGTCAAGCCAGGACTAGCTTAGACCAGATCTGACCAGCTTGGACAAGCTATGACCAGCTAAGACCAGCTTAGACCAGCGGCACGAGTGAAAACATTCAGGTCCCCACGTTAAAAACTGAACTTGTGTCACAACCTGATTCAGTGGTGGGGGGATCAAGTAAATCTCCTTAAGAGAATCGCGCGGCACACTAGTGTCCCGCGGCACTGTAGGTGAGAATCACTGACCTAAGCGTACGCTTTCATGCAAATATCACATTGTAAAACATTTTAGTTGAAGAATTAAAATAAGGAAGGTCTAACTATATTGGCTGGACCTGATATAGTGATTTTCTAAGCCCGGCTTAGATGTGGCACAAGGCCGAGAGTATGGGGCACCCAGTGAGGATCGAAATCACTACTCAGCTATTTCATAACCATCAACAGTCAAATCGACTTACACATTTGAAAGGTGGATTAACTGTACTTTCATTGAATAAAGTGTTTTTTTTTTAAAGAATTTCAAAGAATTTAAATTTTAGAAGATTTCCCAAGAGAATGAATGAACTACTGGACGTAAAAACCAAAATAATTTCATTGCGGTTTTACAGTCTGAATTGTTAGGTATTCAATGGAGATTTAAATCATTCTGCCGACGATGGTTCGGGAAATGTATTTGCAAACTACCACTCTATGTTAGATGTTGAAATAGCATCTCCAAACGAGATAATTACGGCGAGTTTTATATTTATTTTTCTTGAATAAATGAAAACCTCCGATGAAAATAGGGATTCCAAGATTAAATAAAAAAAAAAGGAATATGAATTCGAGCTTCATGTCTTACGTTGAACACCTGCGAATGTGACTCGGCATCCCAAGCAGAATGAGGTGTAAAAACTAATTTTAAGGAGGCGGGTAAATATTACATGAAATGATTAACGGGAGAAATAACCAATTCTCGATAACAGGTGGAAATACTCAAAATGAAA